GCAGAGAAACCAGCACATTAACAAGCTGCATTTCTTCATATTATGGGACTGGCCCAGAATATGGAGAACACAGCAAAAGCAGAAGTACAAGAAGTGAAAGACAACAAGCAACACCAAGATGAAATAATTTACTGTCATCAGCACCAGGAAACCTTTATGGCTGTCAGACAAACTCACAGCAAAGCCTCTGTGCATCTTTGACCCCAACTCACTTTGCGCAGACTCATCTGTTTCTTGTAGAAGTTGTCCCACTCCCGTTTCCGACGCTCATCATTGTCTTCATCCCAATTCCCACTGCCCTCTTCATCATACCTGGGTAAGGCAGGAAAGCAAGAGGAACAAGCAGTTTTGTAGCTGCAGCATGAACTGGGGGACAAGTTTGGGAAGCCACCCTAGTGATGCATCCAACATCCTTTCTGAACATGGCTTCACTTTGAGTTTCTCCACCATTGTCCAACCAGGACAGCAGTGAGTGTCCTCCAAAAATTCACAGCATTTGTTAATCCCATAAAGTAGTAGGCAGTGGCATGAACTAAGAGCATGTAACTAGTGCCCTGAGAATGGAAGGCTCCATTTCAGCAGCTCTGCCAGATGCTCCCAGGGGTTCAGGAGTCACTACCCCATCTGTCAGTCCCTCCAGCCCTCGGAGCAGAGATGGCAGAAAGGGCACAACATCCATTCCTCAGCCTCACTTGTTCACAGGCTGCTGCAATAAATGAAATCTCCATCTCTACTACGCTGAAATGCAGCAGCTGATCCTCACCAGATGTAGCCCACGAGTTCACTGCCTCCCACAGCTGCTGAACTTACAGGTGTCACAAATCTGAGCTTTAGAGCTGCTGTCTATTACAACTTCCAAGGCAAAACTACAATCAGATCATGGAAAGGTTCAGTAAGCCAAGTGGCAAACACTGCTCTTTACAACAGCATTAGCTGTGGCTTCTGAGGTCCTGAGACCAAACACAGGCTTAGGTCACAAGTCGTGGTTTTCTCTGACTCGGCTGGACTTGGCCAAAGAACAAAGGTACCAATCTCGAGCTTTTTAAGGTAAAGCAGAGGGCCTGGCCAGCCTACAGCACTGTGTATCCTGGCACAGCTTCATGGGCAGTGCCAGCAGAGAAACTTCATCCTGACACAGCTGCACAGTCACTGCAACTCTGCCAGTGAACAAGAGGAAGGAGAACTTGTCACCTCCACACTGCCAAGCATTTTACAGAATTCATCATATTTCCCACTGCACATCTTCTTTTTGCTGTCAGCCTGATAGAAAAATGCAGCAATCTGCAGAACAATTTGACACTGGCACTTCATAACATCCTCTGTGGTGACTAAGTCCTGTGAGTGGCCCCTGGCCTGCTGGCTAACAGACAGCTGTGTTAAATCAGAAATGAACTCTGGACCATATCACCTGGGTCTCAACTTTAAACATTTTTGATCCTTGTGACTATGAGCAGGCTGAGTCCACTTGCTGCTTTCAAAAATTTCAGGCTAGTTTCTTGAGTCAATTACATTGTGCAGGGCAATTCTTAGCTCTGTCAAAACAGCTTTTGGTTCTGTGGGACACGAATGTGAACAAGGCTGCCAAAGTGTGTGGAAAATGAAATTCCAGCTGCAGCTGCCAGAAAGTTACAGAAGAATACCATCCACACAGAAACATGTGCTGAAAATAGAGGTGTCTGGGCCTGCAGCTGGTGGATGCTCTTTTCTCTGATGGCTCCTGTGAGATGAGTGTAACCTCTCTGGTACAGACCTGCTGAAGCCTCTGCAGCCTCTCCTCCCGCCCTCGTACAGCTCTGGGTCGTAGCTATCCCAGGAGGCCCCCGTGGGCCCGATGCAGGTTTTGCTCCAGCTGTTGCTGCAGCGTTCCAGTGCCTCCTGTTGCCTTTTCACTGCCTCTGGGTTCTTGCAGAAGTCACAGCATTTGTTGCAAGGAGGGGTGACATCGCCGAAGTACTTCGCTATGGCAGCGTGGCGACAGCTTGGAAACACAAGGCAAAATCATCTGGTTATCACTTCTGCCCACAAAAATTCTACCCTCCAAATGGAGGGTGTCTTTAGATACAGATTTGAGTCTTGTTTTTTCACAGAGAATGACTATTCCAGCAGGAATCACAGGGTTTAATCCCCAGAGCAGAATTTGGGTTCTGTTCCTGGCACCTTGCTTCAAGTCTCTCTGCCTTCACTTCCCCATATGTAAAAAACTATCAGTGTTAATCTCTTCTGCTAAACCCTTTCAGATCTTTGAGATCTGCAAAAGGAACAGTTGATTAAATATACAGTTATTAATTTTGTGTCGCTGCCTAAATATATTCCATGTCCTATCAGGATGGCTGTAGGTAAAGAGGCCCCATTGATCACTACACCTCAGAGTATATCTCACATTGCAGAGTTTCTAGGTTTATTATTTGTGTTTTGAAGGTTAAGAAATATATATTTGAAGACACAGGAATGTAAAGAAAGTCCCAGAAACAGAGTCCAAAGTGAGGTCACAAGGGAATACTATTCAGATAACACAGCCTGGATCTTGATGGGTTCATACATGCTCCAGATCAGCACCCAAAGTTTGAGTAGAGTCAGTCCTACATGCATGAAAACAAGTTCATTTGCTCACACAGGATTGCACAACCAGTTTACCAGGATTAGCAAACCAACCATGAGAAGATTATTAGATTCTTCCAGAAATTTAAAAATATTTTTGGCAGGCATCACTGTTTTGGGGTACATAAAAAAGAATTTGGTGACAATATGCTCACTAGAAATACAGGCAGGAAATAATTTCTCTTCTAAAACACTCCCTAACTTAAACCAGGGAATACAGTGATTTTGCCAAAGAATGATCAGGCAGTGACTCTCCCCCCCTTTTTTAAAGAAAGCACAATTTAGAGGAGATTTTTTTAAACTAAAGTTTCTCAGCAGAGGTGGCTGGTTGTATGTTAGTTAAAATGCTGATAATAAGTCTAAGAAAACATTCACTTTGTTGGGCCTTTAGAGATCAAATCCTGCAGCCAAGTGGGAACAAAAGTTACTTTAGAAGAAAATTATTTCACTACAAGGAAAAACAAGGTGGAAATTTGTCTTCTCTACCAAGGTGCTTCCCAACTTCATCTGCAGAAAGTGGGTCACAGAGGGGAAAAGTAAGAGAGCAAGCATCTCATTTACTCTTATTCTAAACCCTTTAAGGCACGTCAAAACTTGCCAGAGATCTAACAAACACAGTTTTCTTCTTCACTTGTGTCTTTGTGTGTCTGGAGGGAACACAACTGCACGTTACCAAAGCATCACAAACAAACCCTGTAAGGGGCTGCAGTGGCTGCTAGCTCACTCCTTCTCAGGGCCTGGGAGGTTGATCTGGAAGGCAGCACAGCAGCAGGACACAGGTTCCTGTCCCCAGCAGCCACCTGAGTGTGCTGAAGTGCCAGGGAGCTGGCAGTGCCCAGGCAAGGGGCTGCAGCAGGGTGCCTGCAGCGTGCAGGGCACCAAAGCCTGGAGAGGCTCCCACAAAGCTGCCATTCTATCCCCCTGCAGAGCCACACTGACTCACTCTGCTCCTGCACTCAAAGAGCTCCTTTCACACGGAGGGGAAGGGTGGGGGGACCGAGATGGGGGCAACACATTTGATACCCTTGTCCTGCCTTTCCACAAGAACTACTGGTGCTGCCTGGCTTGCCAATGCAACGTGACTACAGAAATGTCAGCGAGCTGCAAGTCAGCTTTTTGTTTCCCCAAAAGAAAACAGGCAGGCATTCTCATTAGTCTCTGTCTCTTCCCCTCGCACGCACTGATCTGTATTAGAGTTAAGTGAGGCATTCAGTGAGGGACAAGCCCTCTCTCCTCTCCCACAGCTCACCAGGCTTATGCTGGGGAGGGATAGCCACACACACCTCTGTCCTTTAGAAGCCCCAGCGGAGGGCTTTGGTGGAAGCAGAGATCAGCTGTGAGCTCACTGGAATTTAGAGTTCCAGTTTCCAACTCATCAGGCTTGTAAAGCCAAGCCCTTTCCACACAACCTTCTGCAATTGCCCTTTTCTTCCTGAAGAATTACCCAGATTGGGGCCACAGCCCCACTGTAGCCAACGGTGTTCAGGAGTTGGGCCATAACAGAAATTCAGTTGCAAAACTAAAATTGCAATCCTGTAATTAGGGTCAAAAGGCAAAAAATGAAGTTACCAACAGGGATGCTGGGGTTAATCACTGGATTAATGCTTAACACAAGAGCTCCTGCAAGATAGTTGGTTATGCATTAACATGTGAGGGGAAAGCTTTCCCTGTCACACCAACACCTTACTAATGCCCACGAGATGGAAATGATTTACATAAATTAATGGTAGTTTGCATTATTATACATGTCCTAAAATTATTGCATCTTTTAAATATGCAACTGTATTATTTGTCCCCCTTTGCCCTTCAAAAAGAGTGCGTATGAGCTGACCACTGGTCTCTAAAATTTCTAAATAAAATCATTATGTCATTTCAGACATCCCCTCCCCCCTCATCTGACATTATGGAATGGGATGAAGAGCAAATAACAATGAGGTTTATTAACACATTTTTGTCTGTGGCAATACATTTCAGGAAAGTGCTAAACTGACCACAAAACAGCTTGCACCTGTGTAGTTTTGGTAATTCTTGTTTTTATACACCACATAAAACAGGAGCCCCATTCCTGCAATTAGGAGAAGCAGATGGACAGCCAGAGAAGAAGCAAAGTCACATATCCTAAAAGAAGCTCTGCCTCTCCCAAAAAAACAGTAGAAAAAAGCATTCCCTTGTATAAGCCAAAGGGTACAGAGCCTCATCAGAAAAATACAACTTGGCAAGTCTTGGAATAATGTGAAGTGAAAGGGTTAAAAAAGATAAAACTCATATGAGGGCAAATTAGTTATGCAGTTGTCAAGTGAAAGGCACTTAATGAGCTTTATCAAATGGAAGAGCAAGTCATGAGGTTGATGAGAACTTCTAATTTTGCACCTGTCTGAAGGATTGTGTCCTTTCTTCATCACCCGAGCTTCACCCTCTGAGACAAGACAGTGACAGTCAGCTGTCTCCAGAACACAAGAAGCTAAAAGCTCAGCATCAGGAGAGTAAATGACCTGGCCAAGGACACGGAGCAAATTCACCATCCCAGCAGCAAACTCACCACCCCAGCATTGTCCCTGCTGCCCTGCTCGGGGCAGGTCTCTCACAGCGCTGCTCTGCCCTTGTGAATACTTGCTGTGCCCTTTCAATGAGCACAGGAGAAAAGCTCCTTCACCAGGAGCCGGAAGGAAACTGGGCAGCATAAAGAAAAGTTACTTGCTTTAACAACATCGCCTCAAACTATCGAAAAAAAAGCCGTCATTCAAAGGTAAGGAAGAAACTCCTCTCTCGGAGGAGATGCACAGAGGAAGCCAGCAACAAGTGCCGGCCCTCGGGCGGCCCGGGGAGCTGGCAGCGGCTCCGGCTCAGCCTGCCGTGGCTCCTCTCCCTCCCTCTTTGGCACACATGTAACACGAAACTTCGCATCTCCACGACAACCAGCAACAAAAAAAAAAAAAAAAAAAAAAAAAAAAAAAAAAAAAAAAAGAAAGGCAGAGACAACAGCTGGCTGTCAGCAGCGGAGCAGAGAGGAGCCGAACGAGCAGCGAGCCGCAAGGAGCCAGAATGAGGGGAGAGATGACGTGAAAGTTTAAGAAGACGGAAAGAACAAGAGGAGAAGCAGAGCTCGCGGTCGGGGTAAGGCTGAGCCATCGCTGCTCCTCGGTCAATCGCGGCACCCACGCTGCTTAGCGAGGGGCTGGAGCCTGGGGAGCTCCCCCTGCTCCGTCAGGCTCGGAGCAGAGCTTGGGAGGCGGAATTTGCTTGCCAGGGACACCGAGGAGCAGAGGTGGCAGGAGAAAAGCTTTTAATGGGATTGCGGAGAGCTGCGCCGCGGCCGCCCTGTAACAAAAGGAGCCCGAGCGGGACCCTGCAACTCCTCCGCCGGTGACAAAGGCAGGCTGCTCGGGTTTCTGTGCTCGTACGGAATGGATGTCCTGATCAGCTGGTGACCTGTACAGAAATAGGTGGTGTGCTGGGTCCAGGCTGTGCGTGTCCTTAGCGGGGAGCACAGGCAGGCTGGAAACCTGAGGGGTGCCAGCCACAGCTTTTCCCGGAGCTCCTCCCAGCTGCAGCTGAGTTTTATCCCCCAAAATCCTGCTGCAGAGAGCTTAGAAAACAAACCCTGGTCGGGGAACTAGCACGCTGTGCAAGTTAAGCATCTGTGTCCAATAGAAATAACTGGGAAGATTTTACGGAGTTGCTAATGAGAACATTTAAAAAAGAAAAATAATTCAGCCAGTGTATCAGGCACAGATGCTGATTTAGTGTTCAAAGCAGCGTGAGAACCCACTGCTCTGAGAGACACGGTCATGTACATACACAGCTCATGGTTTACAGTAACCAGACTGTCAAGTTTGAATGCAGTGAGAAGGGAAGGAAGAGCAAAAGGATCACCTAAATACATGAAATTATACAACATAATCATTTAGGTTGAAAAAGACATTTTTTTGGTTTAGGCTTTGGTTTTACAGAGGTGTCCACCTGTGCTCCCATCTCTGTTTCGCTGTTGGGTCTGGGAAGAGGGCCTGGTAATGGAGACTGGCCTTATAAATCCCCATTTTCTGCTATATGGTGTTGACTTCTCTGTTTGGAAGTTCCAAACTGAGCTGCAGCTCAGCTTCCAGCACTGAGCTGAGACCCCCTCAGCCTCTGCTCAGAGGTGCATGGGCAGTCAGCTGTTTACAAACAGGAGCAGAAAGCAATTTCTCACAGAAAAAGGTCTTCCCAATCCTACACATGCCTGTAGGGAGGAATGTTAAGGATCAGGTATTTCCACTTCTCTCCATTTCCATTAACGAGGAATGGAGGGCAGGTCTTTCTGACCTACGTGTTGTACAAACATGGAATTGGAACTGCCTGAGTGAGGAGATGTAGTAGTTCAGACCCACAGGCCTCCAGCCTGGCCCTAAGGCTCAAGGGGATGGAGGGAAGTTTCCACCCTGCTAAGGGAGAGTCTGTGTAGGTTGGTTGTTGAAGTTAAGAGAGTTTCTTAAATAAAGCATGTGAAAAAACAAAGTTTAGTGAAGCAACAAATTAAAAAAATAAGGAGGGAGGAGTGAGGGGAGAAGGGCAGGGGAGGGAAGGAGGTAGAGAAACATGCCAAATTTTCCTGGCCAAAAGAAAATCTTAATGGGTTTGGCTGGGGGCTTGTCCAGCTGCGGCCATGCTGTTCATGTGTGGGGGGAGAGGCACAGCAATGTGAAACACATGTCTGGATAAAAGCAGCGGGACATGGCTTGTGTTACAGCTGTCACAGTTCATGGGCCTCAGCCTGACTGCAACCAACAGTGGGTGTGGGAATGAAGGTACAAAATAATCCAAGTTTGATAGAGCGGCTCCTCTCTGACAAGCCCCTGAGCACAGAGCCTGCAGTGGGCCAGAGGCACCCACTGGACAGCAGGGGCTGGGAGGGGTGAGGAGCAGCACCCACCCCACACCTCCCTGCAGCCTCTCCCCATTGCCCCATGCAGCCACAGCTGATGAGCTTCCAATCAATTCCTCCTGAGGCAGCAGCTGCTGCAAATTTTGATTTTTCATTTCCTACACCCCAATGGCACCTTTACTAGGATTAGTCCAGGATATTTCAAAAAACTCAAAAATGCATGTAAATTTAGGAGACTTGTAGATGTGAGCTCAAGGAGAGGGCACAGAGGTGGCTGTTAAAAGGTGGAGGAGTTTCCATCACTCTCAGGGCATCCAGATGCTGGACTTCAAGAACCAACTACTGAAAGATCGTACTATGTTTGTGAAGTCACTAAAAGGCTTTCACAGGCACATAGCAACCTCTCAGTCAGCTTCCTGGGGAATGGATATATTGCTAATATTAGAATAGACTTTCAGGCTAGATTCAAGCATCACCAACCCTAAAAAAAGTTCTCTTGTAGAAGAGCTACAGGTTTATTTTTAAAATTGACCTTTTTCTTTCATTGGATGGCTCCGTGTTTTGGTTTCCCCACTTAAAAAATTTCTAGTAGTGAGGAATTATGGGGTTTTGTGGACATGTTTGTAAGATGGACTAGAGAAAACCAGGGTGATCTGCAGAGGTGTAAAGATTCCTAGCTCAGTGCCTCAGTGGGCAGCTCTGCTACTGAAACTGTGAATTCAGTGCCTTTTTACCATTAATCTAATATTAGGTTGTAGGGAAGAGAAGGCACATTTACAGTGTTGCCTCAAAACCCATCTCCAAATAGTGGGTGGTGGAGATGATAGGGTACTCCAGCCAAAGGGTGACCCAGGCAGGGCAGCTTTAAAATCTCAGGAATGTGTGGCCTTCTGTTCCAAACCAACTGACAAAGTCCCAGCTTTTCTCCCATGGCATGGAGCTACAATTTACCAGTTTGGGTGTGTGCTGTTCAAGGGCTGAATTCTCTTGATACTGGAAACTATTTTCATCTGCTTGGGAATGAATTATAGGTCTGTCTGTCTCTGTGCACTCCTGTTTTAAGAAAAATGGGCTTGTCTGAACTATAGTTAAGATTCACATGGCTGGTCAACTACAGTCATGGCAGCAAACACTGCATTAACAATGATGAGGGAAAGCCATGCACTGATAATGCAACTGCATTTCTATGGCCCTTTTCATCTCAGCAGTACACTAAAAGCTTAGAACAATAAACAATCATGCAGGAATTATGACACGTTATGCCAAAATGCATCCACACTGTAGGCACACCTAGCAACCCAGCATTGTTTGAGAACAGGAAGTACTGCAGACCTTATCCATATAAAATCAGAAGGACGTTTCAGGGACCAAGAACAAAGCTGGTATGTTTTAAAACTGGCCAAGCCTTCATGTTCTTTAAAAAGTGGCCAAGTACAGTCAGAGCTTATTTTAGAGTTTTAGACCAGAATAAAAAGCATCCCCTCCACTTTGGCTGCTTAGCACCCTCCTTTCATGAGGTTGGGCTTGCCTTGTAAGATTTCCTACCAGATAAGCCCCCACAATCCATACAGGCTTCCCATCCCTGTACAGGTCCAATTTCCACCAATTTACTGGACTAGTCTGAGTAAGAGCAACACAACAGTTGCTTCTTCAGAGCCCCAGTCTTAAGGAAAAGCCAAGGTTCCAATGAGAATGTTGCTGTGGCATTCTACTTGATGGGAAGATCAGAAGGTTCTGCTTTCTAAGGTCTCTGGAGCAGTCCTGCTGTGGGCAGTGGGCAGTGGAGGAGAGCCAACTCACTGTCACTGGGACTTGCTGCATTAGGACTAAAGGCATTGGCGGGTTCTTGTTCCCCCCGAAATTCTCCCCTCCAAAGCTTTATCTCCAGTTTTAGGTTACTAGAGCAACAAACTTATGCAAGCACAATAAAACTAATGGATCAGGATTATGGCAAGAACAGTATGAGGAGCATGGTTGAGTTAGGAGTAAATAAGAGTGGAAACCACACTTGCATCTATTCTAAACAGGTTCAGTGAACAAAGTGTACAAAGTACTGAGCAAAATAATGGCCGGTTCAGTTTGTAACTGCAAAACCAGGGACTTGTTGCCTTTCTATCTAAAGATTCCCAAGCATGCTGGAAACTTGGACACCCAACAATTAACAAACAAATCTCTGATGTGGTTCCATGTTCCGCTGTCTTGCAGAGATGAAGTCACCCAACAGTGGGATGTGATGATTTACCCAAAGTCACACAACCAGGGAGCATCACTGGCAGGCTCGGGAGACTGCCTGTATTTACTAACTTGCAGTCCTGGGGCTAAACCACAAACTTAAATGCACAAACTTTTTGCACTAAAAAAGGCTGCTCAAATACCCCCAGGCTTATGCCTAAACAAGTGTCTCATTCTCAGCGGTAAATTTTAGCTCACCCACTTCCTACAGTTCACCTTTGGATTGCAACTGTGTCCACACACAGATCAGGACAGACCAAAAAACCCAAATGTAGAGCAAAAACGAAAAACCAAAATGTACAGCAATTCTAAAAGACTCACAGCAGCCTCACCAGCTTCAGGCAGACACAGAAATGTGAGACCCCACTGTACATGGTCACCCCAAAGCTCTTTTTCTTGGAAAAAGAAGCCTCCACATGCAGCCAGTTGACAGCAAAAAGGAACCTTGATGGAGGCTTTTCTCTTGAATGTCTAGATTGAGGCTTTTAAATGGCTTTATTCTCCAAGGGGCTGAGCAGCCAACTTCTTTAAGTGCTTCGGCTTGGCACGAGTCCACTAAAACAACTTAGAAAGATAATTTCAGTGCTATTATGGCAATTTTCACAGCTTTCTTCAGTGGGCACAGCAAGATGAATCTGCATTAGTGCTTTCTGGGAATCTAAATCTATGTAAGTCCTAAACACAGGACGTGCACTTTGGTTTTACAGGGTCATGTAATCCTTGCAGTTGAGCAGCACACCTGCAGCTGTTTGCCATTCCCCTGCATCATTTCTGTGCTCTGTCCTTTCAACCAAGGCTAATAACTCATGGCATGTGGCAGAATGGGCCTTTTTTTCCTCAAAACCAAATAAACCCAAATTAAATTATTTGGGTTTTTTTCCTTCCCCCTGCTGGGTCTTGCAACATTAGAGGGCAGAAAGGTTTAATGATCTAGTTCCACTGGCATCACTGAGTTAGATGAGTTACTTCTTAAGTCAAAACCATGAATTTCAGGTTGCCACCCCATGCCAGCAGGATGTCACAAACTGTCTGTGACAAGACATTGTGTTACTTTCTTTTCTATGTGAGATTCTAATCTTGCCTCTCTTCATCTGATTTTCACTTCACGTGAGCTTTAACTACAGCCGTGGAGCACAATTTCCTGACATCAGTCTGACAGTGTGTTATGGATGAGTTACATTAGCTCTGCTGCCCTACAGCCAAGTCTCCTCTGCTCTAGAGGGTTCCCATCCTCTAGATGGGTGGGTGAAGTTTTGAGGAAGGACAATGATGAGCAAGAAGAAATTCCCAATTGAGGAAAACACTGGCAGACAATTATGTTTACTCCAAACCCCTGAGAATCTCTGAGGTATTAACTCGAGTGGCTCTTCCAGGCTCTAAAACAGCCTGAAGGTAAACTGTTAAGGCCCACATCCTTAAGTTTCAAACCTCTTAAGACCTCCATGTTTTAATAATAATGCTTCAGCTGAATATCCTGCACCACCTGGCCTTTACTACAGTTGGTGACTGGAAGCTTATTTAAACACAATATAATAAAACATAAGGAATTAATTCTCACAGCTCCACTCTGTTATTGTAATTAATGTCATCACCTTTGTGTTGTAAATTAAGCAGATGCATAAGACAACTGGTTTAAATCACACTATCCTTACCCTTGTGCTCATCTCAAAGGTAAAATCTTGGTTCCACTGACTGAAATCAATTGGGAAAAGGTCACATCAAAACTAGCCCTGAACAAAGATTTTACATCATAAGTAGAATGGAACATACAAAAGTCCATTAATGTAACTGGCTCTCTTGGGGGAGTTTTACTTTTTGCCTTTAACAATTATTTTATTCTTCACCCTTTTACCTTGCTGCAGAAGCAGAAATCCCAAAGCAGAGAGCCCTTGGAAACAGCAGAAAGTGCAGTCAATCAGAAAAACATTTGCTTCCTCACAGGTAGGTTGGAGACTGCACCACCACCATCAAACTTTGTCCCTGATATAATTCAGACCAAGGTAAACAAGCAACATTCCTTGCAAGTTTTAGAATAAAAACTCCTTCACTTAGCTCCAAGATGAGGTACCATGGGCAGAGTGGAATGTTCATTAGAGAGACAGGCTTTATCAATTTTGACTAAGCACTTTGCTAATCCACATGGAGTTCTGCAATCCTGGTCAGTAATTCTGCATGTATAACCAAATTTCACAAACCTGGTTCTTATACTTGTTGCTTCTGGTGCAAGCCAAAGCATGGCATGGAAGTTTACAGCAAATTTGGTATGAGGAGAGCTGGGCAGGCAGAAACAACTCCAAAGGGAAGAAACATTTTCACAATGTTAAAGCCAGAAATTTTATTTTTTTAATTTTTTTTTATTCTAGAGCCAAGAAGAGAAAACACAAATCATTTCACCTCTGCCTCTTCCACCGTCTCTTAGAATGGAAACAAAATTGAAAACCTGTTGACACAGATTCCTGCAGCACTAAGGATAAAACAGCCGTTTCTGGAGAAGCTCACTTGGGGTATGCAATCATCTGGAAAGAAGTATTTAACCCTAGTCTTAAAACTGACCTTTTCAGGTCAAAAGACCACAGCTCTGCCTCCTTCCTAAGTTGCACGGTGATCTTTCTGTGGATGCAGATTTTCCATCCACCCCCATTTCTAAGAAACCAGCTGGTTCCGATTTTTATTCCTTAGCTTGGATTTAAAAGAACAAAGAAAACCCTTTTTGAATTGCATAAACATACAAAACTAATTTAACTTGGCGCTGTAGTACTTAAGCCCAGCATGCAAAGGAACAGCCAAGGTCTCTCTGTCCTCAGTGTGTTTAGAAAAACTGAACTCCAAGCATCCATTTGTTTGAGTAACCAAGCCAGATATGCAGTAAGGGACTAGCTGGTTTGTTCTGGAAGTGCTGTCTTGGTCACTTGGCTTTGTGTTATCACCAAGATCAGGATATTAAATTACATTGTTCAAGTCCCAAAACCCAGTGTAGCCTGTTACAACACACACAAACCAGTACATTTTGATATAGTAATGAAATAAGAGTTATAACCCATTCAAATGTTGACCTGTCCAAACACTTGTTTTAGGTGGAACTATGGCTATTTCTCAGAAATATCCAATTCCAGTTCCTGACTGAAGCAAAATTTGAAGATCCATAGGTCCTATGCCAGCTAGTTTTTTGCAATGCTTCCTAAAATCTTGTTAATGGGGTAAAAGAACAACAAATACTGGTGACAAAACTGAGGCACTTTAGTTTGACTAATAATATTTTCAGTAACAATAGCTCCTGATCATCACTCTGGGAATAAAGAAGGCCTAAGATTACTGAGCAGGGCAGGTGTGATTAGTTCCACAAGGGAGGTATCTCCCTGACAGATTCAGGGGCTTTTGCTTTGCTTATCATCAGCAGTGATGGGTGGAATCCACTGTTCATTTCATATATTGCTCTGTGGCTTAAAATAAAAAAAACCCCAAAACTAAATTTAACTTTCTTTATAAAATTGCATTCATCTGTAAGAGCTTGAAAAGCATCCAGCTGTCCCTAGTGAATGCAGACTTTAACTTTTAGTATCACATACAGTAAAACTGGTTAATAAAAGGTTATTAATGTTATTGTATTGAGGTAAATGCCTTTGTTTTTGAAGGGGGGTTCTGTAGCTCAAAGTGAAGAAGCCTCCAAGGGAGTCTACTTCGTGTAACTCAGTAACAAACAACTGAAGACTATGTACAGTGGAGTTCAGCACTGAGAATTCAAGTTGGGTTAGAATTGCATTTGTTTCTGGAAAGACAAGTTAGCACAACTGGGAAAAAAAATGCTTTGACTGGGTGAGAGCCAAGGGCAGGCACTGTCCAGTCTAACTCAGTGCCTGCTGGAAGAAGTGTCCTTGTAGGAGAAACACCGTTTGGACTTTGCTTAACAGTAGTTGACAAAAACACCCTCGAAGCTGGATTTTGAAATTAAAACAGAGCCAGAACACGTAGACAATTAATAGTCCTCCACCTTAGCTACTGGGAGCAAGGACTGAGACCAGATAAACTTGTTTTCCTTGTGATCACCGGCTGTATAAGAAGGCTGGCAGCTCCCTAGCATTAGTCAGTGAAAAGGTTTATTCTCTGTTTGGTTCTCCTGCAGCATAAAGCCTGGAGAGGTTGTGACAGAATGTCTTCTGAAGGTTTTCTGAAGGAAGTTCAAGCCATTGGTGAGAAGTTTCTCCTTAAGCTCCAGAAACTGCCCAAGGCTGAGCCAGTGGAGATTGTCAGCTTCTGTGTGGTTCTTCTGTTTATTGGTGAGTTTGTGGATGGTGGCAAAGGGGTGTCAGAATTTCTCTCCTCTCCTATGGGGGCAACTTGCTCCACAGGCTATATAAGTGGGTTGGTGGTGTTGGCTGTTGTTTTCTAGGCTGTGCTCTAAAGCCCAGGTTAATTCCTAGGTAATTTTTTAATACTCAACATGTACCTCTACATGGTTGCAGGGCATGGCAGGAAACAGTGCAGCTTTCCCAAAAGCTCCCATTTTAAACATCAGTTAAATCAGCAATATTTTAACCAACCCAGAGCTGCTGTAATGTTCTGATGCATAGAAGACAGTTTATAACAAATGGTACTAGAGCATCTCCCTACCACAGAAGATACTTAAGAGGGGCTCTGAATGTCATTCTTGTATTGGCTCAGTGGAAGCCAATATGCTTCAGATGAGCCTATTTATTCTCCTCTGGTAATGGCAAGATTCCTCCTGCTGCTCTGTGTGGGGATGGCATGGAAGGAATAACAACTGGATCAAGAACTGCTGGAGCAAGGAGGATGAAGTTTGTTTATACAATGGGAAAATAAGCAGGAAGGAAGACAGGCCCTGCTCCTCAAAGACAGGGCTTGCTCCCGGCCAAAGGAAGGGTGTGTATTCAGTTGGACACTCCTCCCTGGGCTGGAATTCACAATATCATACCTGCTGCTTTATTTGGTTCATCCCTACAGCTGGTTCCCCAGAGGTCACGTTACCTGGCAGCCCAGGTCCAGGCTTTAAAGGAACACGTGCATACACAGAGGCATGCTCACACTCTTACATGTTCTGCAGGATGGAACATGTCATCCTTTTCTACTCCAGATAAACTAACATATCCCTGCCAACACCAGCCATCCTAGCTAGAGTAGAGGACAGTAAGTTAGGCCACTCTTCTGTGAAACAAACTCCTGCATTTGAAGTATCTTATTTTTTCAAGCTAAATACAGAAGAGTAAATCCAACCCAGTCGTGAATCTCTATGCTTAAAGAGCATGCTGAACTCACTCTTCAGAAATACAACTGCCACAAATACCAACTCCCTCAAGTCTGGTTACTCAGAAATCCAAAGCTGGACTTTCATCCTTTCCAGGAACATAGCTGTGCTTAGGTACTGCATGTCAGCTCCCAAACAACAGCCCATTAAGTGGCTCAAGAAACCCTCATGTGGTTTGGAATGTAGCTCTTAAGGTCTCAAAATGCCTGGTAATGATTGTCCAGATTAAATGGAAAACCAATACAAAGGAGCAGGAATTTAGGAGGAGGAAGATGGGGATATAGGGCAAAACAAATTCTCAAGGAACCAGGCTTTGCTCATTTTGCTGCTCCCCAAACAATTTGGAGGAGACACAGGGTTACTCTGCAGGGATTGTTCCTATGCTATGAAGCAATATCCCTTGTTTCTCTCGCAGTTACTGTGCTGGTGCTCACGATCATTGCCTGCAGTTGCTGCTGCTACAGCTGCTGTGGCTGTGATGGACGCCCTGATCCCAGACACAGGAAGAGCCAAGTCCGCCCAGCTGCCCATTCATGAAGTGACACAACCTGCTATCGAGGACATGCCTGGACATCATGATTCAGTGCTATGGGAATGACTTTCCACACTAGCCCACTGAAAATGGCAATAACAATATTAATTAACATGACTCAAAGGACCAGAAATCACAGCGTGGAATTCCTTCTCTCTGTAACAGCCACTACTGTGACCAGAAAGGTAAAGCTCCTTTACCATCACTGTGTCCCTCTTCTGGGCTGGGATGGGGGGATAGGGCATGGACACAGATTGCTGAGAAAAGAGAGAGCTTTTCCAAAGATAGCCCTGCAGCTGGACCAGCTGAGGATTCCCCCTGGGACACAGAGCCACAGAGCAAAGCAGAGGCCACACACACAGCCACACACGAGGCACTGCCTGCTCTCCTCACCAGAAGGATGGTACCGAGTGTTAGCAAAACCCACTGACACCACTGGGAGGTCCAATTGCTCAGGTCATCGTGGATCAAGGCCAAACCTGCTGCAGGAGACACACTTAGCTGAGATATCAGCTGAAAACAAATGGTGGACCCTCTCATCCAGATGTGCCAGCTGAGGCTCTGAGTACAGCTGGTAACAGCTGCCCCTGGTGTCATTTCATTGGTGATATGATGATGGGAAATTGCCAAAGAAGAAAACAAACCATGTGGAATACTCTTTGTAAATAGAAACATGAAGGCAAAAGGGAAAAAACTCACCAATCCTATGGTTTATTTTGATCATTCTCTGCTCAACATGCTCCCTCTCCACCCCCTGTGGTTCCACTCTTCTGCTTATTGCAGATGAATGGTTCTTGCAGAACATGGGAACTCTAGGAGATGAACAAATCCCAATCCTTACTTGAGGGATCTGTGTGCCTGACTCCCTGCACTGTGTGCAGTTTATTTCAGTAGACATGAACATGATGCCAGGGGTGTGTTTATGAGCAAGCATAGAGGCATTTCGGAGGAGTGACATGTGATGGGAACCATCACTTCAGGGTATGTGTGCAGCAGCTGACAGTGGGCACTGTGACAGAGCAGAGCCAAGAATGGGCTGTTGGGCTGGAGTTAACAAGTGCAAATAAATCCCTTTTCCATGCTGCAGCCACTGTGTATGTTTGGTTTACACTCTGGTGAACTTCCGAAAGGGATTTACGGACATACAAGGCTGTGGCACAGCACAAGAAGGCCACAATTCTGCACTAAACTCTGAACCACTGGTGTTTCAGCCCCAAATGGGAGACCAACCACCTTTTTTGAAGGTATAAACAATTACATGCATGTAGAGACGTCATCTTTTGCCTCTGTATCCCATCTAAGCATACGTAACAAAGTCAACATTGAGCTATGGAGAACAGAATCATCAAGGATTTAGCAATGGGTTTTAAAATACTCTTTACACTTCAGGAGGTACAGAAAATAAAGAAAACTCTGTAAAGATATGTATTTTCTCTGTTGCCTGCACCCATATTAGTAAAAGGCACATTACATCAGCTTCTTATGTATTTAATGCACTTTATTTTTTGCCAACAAACTGGATCTAGGTATTTGGTATTTTTGTACTGCTGCACGTTGGAATATATCTGCAGCCAGAGGCACAGTGAATAGTCTAAGAATTATAAGAAAAATAAAATTCCTGAAATTACCAGTGTTACTTTTAAATTAATAAAAAGCAAAACTTTCCAGTAGAAAATGAGGATGTTCTTTAGAAATAAATATTTGAGCCTCAACTTGACAACTGCCAAGAGCAGACTGCACTAGCATGAGCTACTGCATGCACAGTTATATTGAGACAACAAAGTGTAAAAAAAAAAAAAAGAAAATAAATAGAAAAATTTTATTATGCTATCCCAAACCTTTCACTGCTAACCAACATGTTAGGAGGAAACAATCTCGATCACAGCATCAATTTAAACATTCAGAGGTGCATCACACCAACCTCCTGTCACATAAGTCTTTGCTCTTTTCACTCACAAATGAGTGGCAATCAAAGTGACATTAGGAGCCTCAGTTTTGCAGAGACAGACTCAACAGATGTTTTTGTATCTAGATTAAGTCACGAGTCCCGGGGAAGAACAGAGCTCACTTTCTTTCCAGGCTTGTGCTAGACAGTGCCAGCTGCAGACATGGACAGCATCCCACTGAGGGCTGTTCCAGCAGCACGGAGCCAGCCTGTGCAAAGGCAGGGGAAGCTTGGCAGGCTGGACACACACCAAGGGCTGACAAGTTGCTGTCACTGAGAGCAAGCTGCCAGGCCTTATCTCAACAAGAAAAGCCACAAATGCATGTTTCCCAGTGGTGGTATAAGTTAAACCACTGACAGATACCAGGCAGAGGAACAAGAGAAATGGCTCCTGTCTTATCTCAGCCACTGCGAGTTCCTGAATTAGAAACAGAATAAACATAGCACTGTTAAAGAAAGGAAAGAAAAACAGGCAATCTTCTAAAGGATTCAGGTGGCTTTCTGGAGCAAAGGACCAGCTATCATGTAGAGGGAGTCAATTTCTACACACTTGTTTGGACCTCACAGGCTTAATGTTCTGCTTTGGACTATTTTGTACCACTGCACTCAGCTGGACTATTCCTACAGCTGGGATTCAGACATGCCAGTTGTTTGACTGATCTGCTGCTTTCTTGTGTGCATTCAGGGTAGCCTGAAAAATGCTACCAAGTGCCCAGCTTCCTGCAGCTCTTCAGCTTCTGCTGACTACAAACCTGCTGGTACCTGGGCCCCTGCTCAGCACTCACACAAACTTTTGTGTTTTGGCTTTGATCAGTACTCAAATACAGGCACCTATAGGGAGCAGCAGTGAGGATGGATCCTCCTGTTTCAACCTGCAGAGGGAAATTCAGAAAAGCACAGAATAAGGCAAGGCTGCTTCTAACATAGCAACTGCCATTTATATTGTGAAAGCCTAGGAGGAACTGCACAGGAATACTGTTACTTCAGTTGTAATAATAAAAAGTGTTGAAATTGTTTCTTTCCCTGAGGAACCTCAAAGATCCAGCAAGGCCAACCCCTCCAGCAGAAGTGGTTGAAGTTCTACTGATGACTTAATGGAATAGCTTCTGTTCTGTAACATTATCCCTCTGGTTTGCTTGGCTTGTGAAAAATAAGTTTCCTTTTACACACAGGCACTCTCACACACCACAATCCTCCTTCTCCCCTCCCTCCTCTCTCCAGCACCATCCCTCTGGTCTTCTCCAGTCAGGAAAGGGATGAAGAGTTTTATTGTTGCCCACAGCAGTGCATTGCTCTGGAATGGGTTTATTCACCTAAACTGTCACAATGAATTTTGGACTGCAGGGCAGTCCTGTTCCGCCTCACTCCAGTCTCCTACTGGAGCTTGGAACACAGACCCAGTTGGGATCCAGGAAACACAGCCCTCTTCTCTCCACCACATCCTGCAGCCTGCCCCAAACAGAGGCCACAGTGGGCCTGCAACAGCTGTAGGAGTGGATAAAGCCATGAAAAGGAAGAAATGTCTGAGGAGCAGCTGAATTAGGACTTTTTAGTTAGGTTCAAGGCCTTTGATTTGATTAGATTAGCCACACCTTTGCAGGAATTAATCAGCTGTTAATCATTTACTTCAGCCCAAAGAGGCAACTTCCAGGCTACCTCTACAAGTCTCCAGGTACAAGGGGTCCCTCACCACAGGCCAAGATCTCTTGGGGGGTGAAGAGGAGGCAACAGAGGAAACGCCTACTACAAACCACAACAGCACCAGGTATTTATAAAATATCATACAGCTCTCCTATTCTGGGAGGTGAACTGCACTTAGCAAAAGAGACAGTAACTTCCCGGGGTGTGCAGTCCCACAGGATTTCTGCCTTTGTGTCTGTGGAACTTATATCTAGGCTGCCTCCTTTTTGAAGGGAAAAGAATCCAGAACAGCTTTGATGTCCTGTGTGCTGGTTGGTTAAAGAATGAGCAAAGTGATTTGCCATCTACCCAGAAAACAAACCATGAACTGAATGAATCTGGCTGTTGAGAAAGAAACAAAAACTTCAGCAAGTGTGAGCTTGTGCTTCAAGTCAAACCCAGCCTGCTGAAGATGAAACACTTTACAGGAATAATTCTTTTCCTTAGAATAGGGAGGATACAGACATAAGAGGCAGAAAGTCAAGGAACTTTTGAAAAATAACCAATATTTCTTTCTGTATTACATCTGCATAGTCACATTTGCAAGAAAGTGTGAGATAGTCCAACTTTTCCCTTGAGAAGCAAGGAAGCTTTAGTAAAACCACAAGATGCTCACAAAGAGATGCTGGATGTTCTTTAGAAACTGACAGTGAAGTCATTATTCAAAGTATCAGTGAAAGAGCAAGTGAGATCCCAGTTTAAATTATTACTGGACCTCCTTGTGGGAGGAAAACTTATACTTCTATTGCAGAGTAACAGAAACCATTAATAAAGCAAACTCCATTAGCAGGACACCCTTTTAAAACATAATTGGACTATTCTAAGCCCTATGGAAGAAAAGTTGTACATGATCCTTGCTTATTACTGTTCGAATTTTTTGCTTGTTTGTTTTTAAATAAGTGTTCATTTAAGCTCCATTGTGTCTTCAGAGTTTAAGCCCCCAATTCTTCGTTTTAGAGATCCTTCCAATAGTATTAAAGAATTTCTCCCACTGAATACTTGTCTTTCATGTATAGGCTGTACAGCTGACAAAGAGTTTATATTGAACATGCTGGAGAGACACTGTATTATTGAAAATATTGATAAGCTACGATTAAAATAAATCTCAATTGCCAAAAAGCTGTAGAGCACGCAGCTTTTCCTCTTTACATCTCCGCAGATCTGATTGTTAAACCAGTCTCAGCTGTATTTCCTCTAGTTTCTGCTCCAATTTCTGTGAAGGGTGACCTTCCTTTTGGAGGGGGATGCCTGCAGGCACAGACACCACGCATACCTGCACTGGTTTTGGGGCTGTTGCTGAAGGTATGGAGAGAATACAAGACCTGACCCTGTTGTTGTTGCCCCCAGCAGGGTGGAAGCCAGGATGTCACTCGAGCAAGCGGCATCCTCAGATCTGCAAGACCTAAAGAGACTGATTGCAACAAGTGATTGGGCTCTTGGAGGGCTGGTGGTGATTTGCATCTTCTGTTTTGTTTTTATTGCTCTCATTTTATTTGCTGCTATCTTTGGGTGCTGCACATCTCCAAGGCGCAGGCGGGACAGCTCATAGCCAGCAAAGTGGGGACACAGAACTTGGTACAGCTGAGCAAGAACTAGCCTGGGTACAACCTGATTGTGTTGTTCACAGAAAACTCTCATCTCGCCCCCTGGGTGGTTATTTCTCTCCATGCAACTTCCCTACATCAGTGGCAATGTCTCAATGCCAGCAAGTTGTTCTGCAGGCCACAGCAAACTCAATACACGAGCCTGTCTGGATTCAGGAACTGCAAGATTCAACAAATACCAAAGTAAACTTGTCTCTCAAGATTTTCATCTTTAAAGTAAAACCACCAGATAGAGATGGCAAATGGTCAGCCACCACCGAAAGCTGATAAAAATGTGTTCTGCTGCTGGAGCTGAGTGGGATGGGGCTTTTTTTCACCTTGCAGAAGGGCGGTAGGAAACTCTGGCCACTGAAAGCTTTGTCTTAACCCACTCTCTAAAAGTAGCTCAGACCATTGTTCTCCTGTCATACTCAGGCCTAAATACACTATGCAAAAACTTACTTGCCAGTACACAGTCTGTCTTTATTTGTTCTTAATTATAACCTTGCAAGGTCAGAGTTTGAGTTTGCTTTCACTATTTGGATAGTGAGTAGAACTGTATTAATTCAATATGTAAAAAGAAATGCAACGTGGCTTTGCTTTCCACAGCACCTCAGTCTCCTGTAGAGTTACGAGCAGGGAAGCCAGGCCAGGCGTGCTGCAATATGTGACTCTTGGATGCACACCCCATGATATACAGTTGGAAGAATGGATCAAGCTGAGTAAGGGAAGAAAAAGTCTGGGAGGGGTGATTTCTGATTATGTCAGTGATATTCCCTTACTCAGATTATTACTTTGAGCATGGTGAGATACTGGGGCAGGTTGCCTAGAGAAGTTATAGATTCCCCATCTCTTGGAAGGCCAGGTAGGATGGGGCTTGGAGCAACCTGGTCTAGGGGAAAGTGTCCCTGCCCATGGCAGAGAGTTGAATTTAAAACCATTCTATGATTATACAAAACCCAGCTACAGCAACCATCTGTGGTCTGGGAACACACCCCAGAAGGGGCAGAGCTCCTCAGACAAGTGGATCAAATTCTTAGAACAAGAAGTCTCCCAGCAGCTATTTCACAGCATCACCATGACTTTGGGCAAAGAAGTGCCCCTTCAAGTGCCCCAGGGCTCAGTGTTGTGCCACACTTCAGTACAAGCAAGACTCCTGTAAACCCAGGATTTGTTTGCCAAACATGACAAGGAGAGAACACTCTCACCAAGGCACCAGAAAAGCAGCACGTGTAACATTCACGCTGAAAAAGCTGTCCTAGACCCACATGTGAAAAATGAAACAAAATGAAGAACTTGTAAGCATGACACACAAAGATCATTTTCAGTTAGTGAACATATACTGCTCTTTTCCTGGCAAAAATACAGCTTTAATGTCTGATCCAGCATAGAACAGCAATTAGTACAATTACAGCGTACAAGGCATGAACTAAACCTGAACAAGGCATGTTGTGGTTG